ATCTTTCGGGCGATCGATCACAGATGGGGCGAGCACTTTTCTCCTCCCCCCCGTCGGGGCCAGAATCCTCGTGAGGGGTGTCGAATTTTAGCCCTCCCAGGAGTCGACAAAGACCCCTCCAACGACCCGCGAAACCCCCTCTCCAGGTCCAGGGGGAGGGGATAGGGGGAGGGGTAAACCCCTCCCCGAAGGGGAAGAAGGGGGGTTGAGAACAGAGAGAGCTCGCTAAACCACTCACGCCCAAAGGGCTGGTGGGATTTCCAGGCCTCCAATCCATCTCATCCCTCTCGCACCTCACCTGGTGCAAAGCCGATTGTCTGACCCCTCAGAACGGCAACGCGTGTTAGACGTTGGGTCCTCCTATGATCCAAAGGAGGGCGTCTGAAGAGTCTGGTTCAAGGTCGCTTGTTCGTGGTTCGGGAAGACTTTCGTGGCTCGGGCAGATTTTCGTGGCTCGGGCAGACTCTGGGAAACTGCCTAGTGCCCTTGCTCGCAAAGCGGTCTGGGCCGCCACAGCTACGGAGTGTACTGTCTATTGTTGGTTCCCAAGCGTTGCGTTTCAGCATCCGTTGATTCTCAGACGGTGCGTTTCAGCTTCTGTCCCCATCAGGCAGGCAGATTCGCCTCCTGCCCACGTCATCTGGGCCAAAAGGGCCATGATCTTCCCGCGCACGTGCAGTGCAACCCGCGAGCAAGGCAGACGGAGGTCCAGCCAGCGAGCAGGCCCCCCCCCTCTCGCCCCGGACAGAGGGCGCGCGCGGCGTCCCTCTGGGCAGGGAGACGCTACAAGCCCTTCAACAAGTTCCAGCTGAGTTCGGGCCAGTGGTCCCACCTCTTCGCTCCGTTCAACGATTGTGATGATGTTGATGGTGATGACGATGATGCTGATGATGCTGATGATGATGATGGTGGTGGTGGTGGCGGTGGTGATGATTCAGCTGGTGATGCTGGTGATGCTGATGGTGCTGCAGATGCTGATGCTGACGATGATGATGATGATGATGATGATGATGATGATGATGATGATGATGATGATGATGATGACAATGATGACGATGATGATGACGAGGATGAGGATGAGGATGATGCTGATGCAGCTGATGTTTCTGTTGCTTTGATAACGATGATGACGGCGATGACGATGACGATGACGATGACGACGACGATGCTGCTGTTGATAATGACAATGATGATGCTAATGATGCTGATGATGCTGACGATGATGATGATGACGATGATGATGGCGATGATGCTGCTGATGATGATGCTGGTGGTGATGATGATGATGATGATCATGATGATTCTGATGATGATGTTCGAGGTGGCGGTGGTGATGATGCTGCTGACGATGACGATCAGGATGTCAATGAGGATATGATGAGATCTATGAGGATGATGCTGATTCTGATGATGAGGATGTGGATGCGGATGTCGATGATGAGTGATGATGGTGGCGATGATGGTGTTGATGATGGTGGGCGGTGATGGTTTATGAGGATGATGACGATGATAATGGTGATGATCATGGTTATGATGATGATGATGATGATGATGATGATGATGATGATGATGATGATGATGATGATCGGGGCTGATGGCTGATAATGATAATGATGATGAGGATGAGGATGAGGATGAGGATGAGGATGATGATGATGATGATGATGATGATGATGATGATGATGATGATGATGATGATGATGATGATTCGGATTCGGATTCGGATGAGGATGAAGATGAGCATGAGGATGCAGATGAAGATGGTGATGATGCTGTTGATGATTCTTCAAACAGTGCTTGCACGTAGCGGCACCTTGCTTCTCCTCGAAAGAACCGGGCCTGCCTGCGGGTCTGGCGGCCCCGTTCCCGTCCGCCGCCGCCCGAACCTTCTCAACAACAGGCCTGTCCGCCGCGCCCCGTCAGCGTCCGCCGCCGCACCGCAGAGTCCACACCACATGGTTCACACCACGTAGGCTGCACCACTCGGCGTGCAACGCACAGCTTGCACCACGTAGCTTGCACCACGTAACTTGCGCAACATAGCTTGCTTCACAAAGCTTGCAACGCGTAGCTTGTAACACGCGCGTGCAAATATTGCACCGCATAGCTTCCACCATGTAGCTTGCACCACGTCGCTTGCACCCAATGGCCTGCACCACAACGCTTGCACCACGGCGTCCACCACACAGCTTGCACCACGTGCTTCCACCACGTAATTCGCAACACCCAGCTTATGTTACATAACTTGGACAAACAGGGTGCAAGATACCACTGTTTGGGTCCACGCTGGCTAACATGGGTGATGACGGTGACGATGGTGATGCTGCTGCTGATGATAATGATGCTGATGATGATGACGATGACGATGGTGCTGATGATTTTGCTACTCATGATGATGACCAGTATGATAATCATACTGATTTTGATGATGCTGACGATGATGGTGATGATGATGGCGATGCTGGTGATGCGGATCATTACTATGCTGCTATCGAAAAGGATGGTGGTTATGACGATGATGCAGGCCATGCTTTTTATATGATAGTAATGGTGATGGGCCTGACGATGCCGAGGATGATGATGAGGATGTTGACGATATGGTCGAGGATGGGTGTGACACTGGGGACGATGATGATGCTGCTGCTGATGATGATGATGATAATGATGATGATGATGATGACGATGATGATGATGCGAATGATGATGATTATGATGATGCTGATTATGATGATGATAATGATGACGACGATGCTGATGACGATGACGACGACGATGTTGACGATGCCGATTGTGGGTGATGTTGGGCAATTCCGATGATGATGATGATGATGATGATGATGATGATGATGATGATGATCACACGTATGACGATGACGATGATAGGGAGGACGCATGTGTGATGATGTCGATGCTTATGGCGATGATGGTGACGACGACGATGGTGATGATGATGGTGATTCCGATGTGTGGCAATGATTGTTTATCGGTCGGTTGATGGTCCTGCTGATCATTGTGCTACTGATGATGCTGCGGGTGACGATGATGATGCTGATGGTTTTATTCAGGGGGGATGGTGTTATTGAGGCTGATGCGGCTGACGATTGTATTACGTATGGTGATTGGGATGCGGATGACGTTGGTGAAACTGCGGTTGATGATGCTGATGAGGAGGAGGACCACGATGGTGCTGATGCTTATGATGACGATGGGTGGCGATGAATGGTGTTCATTGCGTTACGGATGCTGAAGCTGTTGACGATTCCTTTTCTGACGATGAGGTCGTCGATGTTGATGTTGACCATGCTGATGTTGACGATGATGACGATCCTGATGGTATTGCGGATGTCAGGGAACACGAACAAACGATGTTGGCGATGATGTCGATGTCGACGATGGCGATGCTGATGATGACGATGCTTATATTTGGGTAATGGTGCTGATACTGATCCTGGTGATGCTGCTGATGATGATGCTGATATTGTGATTGTCGGTGGTGACTGTGACACTGATGATGAGGCTGCTCACGATGATGACGATGACGATGCCGACGCTGAATATGACGATGCTGGGTTGTGCTGGGTGATGCCCATGGTGAGGCTGCTGATGACACAGACGGTGCTGACGATGATGGCGATTATGCGATTGATTGCGACGCTGTAGACGACGACGACAAGGAGGAGGAGGAGGAGGCTTATGACGATGCGGAGGATGATACACATTATGATGCTGACGATGATGCTGCGACTGCTGAGGATGCTGATGCTACTGATGCTTATGTTGACGATGATGACTACTTATGCTACTGTGGATGGTGATGATGATGGTGGCGATGCTGATGATGCTGACTGTGATGATGATGATGCTGATGATGATGCTGATGATGATGATGCCGATGATGATGCTGCTGATGATGATGCTGATGCTGCTGCTGGAGATGATGCTGATGATGATGCTGCTGATGCGGATGCTGATGATGCTGCTGATGATGATGTTGCCGATGATGATGATGCTATACTGATGATGCCGATACCGATGATGATGATGCTGATGCCGCTGATGCTGGTGATGATGGTGATGGCGATGACGAGGCTGATGGTCGCTGATGATGATGCCGCGGATGATGATGCTGATGCTGATGATGATGATGACGATGATGATGATGATGCTGCTGCGGTTGATGATGATGCTGATGATGATGATGATGACGATAGTGATGATGACGACGATGATGATGTGGATGATGCTGATGCTGCTGCTGATGATGATTATGACTATGATTTTGATGATGCTGCTGATGCTGCTGATAAGGATGCTGATTCTGCTGCTGATGAGTATGATGTTGATGATGAGGCTGCTGATGATGATGCTGCTGCTGATGGTGATGATGATGCTGATGGTCATGATGATACTGCTGCTGACGCTGATGCTGATGACGACGATGATGGTGCTGTTGATGCAGATGATGATGCGGATGATGATGATGATGGTGCTTCGGATGTTGCTGATGATGATGCTGATGCTGCTGCTGATGATGCTGCTGATGCTGGTGATGATGCTGATGATGCTGATGCTGATGCTGATGCTGATGCTGATGATGATGATGATGATGATGATGATGATGATGATGATAAGGATGCTGATGGTGATGCTGATGATGATGATCATGATGCGGCTGATGCTGCTGATGATGATGATGACGTTCAGATGACGATGATGATGATTATGATGATGATGCTGATGATGATGATGATGATGACGATGATGATGATGCTGATGATGATGATGCTGCTGCTGCTGATGATGCTGTTGCTGATGCTGGTCATGATGTCGCTGGTAATGGTGATGGTACTGATGATGACCCTAGGAGCACGATGACGATGCCGATGCTGCTGACGATGTTGTTGATGATGGTGATGATCCTGCTGACGCTGGTGATGCTGATGCTGCTGCTGCTGCGGAGGAGGAGGAGATGGAGGTGGAGGAGGAGGAGGAGGAGGGGGAGGGACAGGAGGAGGAGGAGGAGATGGATGATGATGATGCTGAAGATGATGCTGATGATGATGATGCTGATGATGCTGATGCTGATGCTGATGCTGATGCTGATGATGATGACGATGATGCTGCTGATGCTGATGATGATGATGGTGGTGGTGGTGGTGATGATGATGATGCTGATGATGATGATGATGATGATGATGATGATGATGATGTCGATGCTGATGCTGATGCTGATGCTGCTGATGATGCTGCTGCTGATGATGATGATGATGATGATGATGACGATGATTATTCCCTACCTAGGCTCTGCCCAGAAGGGTTCTTACCCTGTTGGCGCGGGCAATGAGCCCCACCCCGGGCGCTTCCCCCCAGGATCCGCCCCGCGGTTCCCCCAGTTGCGCCCCCTGGGTTCACCCAGCTTAGCTTAGCTAAGCTAAGCTAAGCTTAGCTTAGCTTAGCTCATCTTAGCTTAGCTTAGCTTAGCTGTGCCTAGCTTAGCTTGGCTTGGCTTGGCTTAGCTTAGCTTAGCTGATCTCATCTTAGCTTAGCTTAGCTTAGCTTAGCTTGGCTTAACTTGGCTTGGCTTAGCTTAGCTTAGCTTAGCCTAGCTTAGCTTAGCCTAGCCTAGCTTAGCTTAGCTTAGCTTAGCATAGCTTAGCTGGCCTTAGCTTAATTTAGCGCAGCGCAGCATAGCGCAGCGCAGCATTAGCACAGCACAGCACAACATAGCATAGCATTCCATATCATAGCATAGCTCAGCATAGCATGTCATACCATAGCATATCATAGCATAGCGCAACATATCATATCATAGCATAGCATAGCAT